CCTAAAAATCCGTCCTGAGCTGAGGAAGGTCTTTAGTCCCTGCGGTTTGTGCTGTTTTAGTCACCCCTCGGGCTGAGACAGGTAATATTGTCAATTGTTTCCACACTTTTTTGCAGTGAAGACAATTGTGGGCAAATACAAAATTCCATAAATAACTATAAATAGGATGCTGGTGGTGATAAATACCAGGGCAAAACAAGGCAAGGCAACAGGAAGGAATGGTTACACTGGATGTTTCCCATTTGGGAGCAAATCTTTAAATCTCTGTTCCAATTTCCCCCTCTCTCTCTCTGTCTTTCTGTCTCTCTCTCTCTCTCTCTCTGTCTCTCTCTCTCTCACTCTCTCTCTCTCTCTCCCCTTCTCTCCCTCTCTCTCTGTTTGTGTGTGTTTATTTGTTTAGTATGTGGCATATCATACCTGGATTTGCAATATATATTAACATTTCATCTAGACTAATAAAACAATATAATATAAATTTGAGAAATATCTATGTTATAAACCAATGTCTAGGCCATGGGTAGGCAACCTTGGCTCTTTTATGACTCGTGGATTTCAACTCCCAGAATTCCTGAGCCAGCATGGCTCAGATTGGAAACCTCTCCATTTCTCCTCAGCATGGCTGGCTCAGGAATTCTGGCAGTTGGAGTCCACGAGTCAAAAAAGAGCCAAGGTTTCCTCCCCCTGGTCTAGGCCCTCTAACCCTTGAAGCGAAGCATCATGTATATTTTAAAATGAGATACTGTATATGCCCTCAGTTTACAGTGGGGCATGATGTGATGTACAGTTTGATGTGGGATCCTCAGTTTGTGTGTGTTTCAACACCTGTTTGCTGTTTCTGAGACCTAATGCTAATTGTTGTTTAAATTGTCCTGGCCCAGAATTGTTCCTCATCCTGTTAGTTCCCTTTCTTTTCTGCTTCGCTGGCAGAATGTAGTGGCTGGTCTTTACATTTTCTTCAGCTGTCAGGCCAAACCTTTACATTTATTATTTAACCTTATGTCAAGATTGAGCTAGACTAGTACAGGTAGTCCTCAACCTCCTACCGTTCACTTAGTGACCGTTTAAAGTTATGACAACAGCAAAAAAGTGACTTATGATCATTTTTCACACTTATAGTGTGACGTGATCAAACGTTAGATCCTTGGCATACTTATGTTCATACTTATGACTCTTGCTGTGTCCTAAGGTCACGTGTTCACCTTTTGCAACAGTTTGAAAAGCAAAATCAATGCAGAAGCCAGATTCACTTAACCTCCATGTAACCAACTGGATAACCCAGTATAATTTTGCAGGGTTCTTCGTTTCCTCTCAATACACTCTACTAAAACAACGGCTTTGTAAAGGTGGGAAAGAGCTATAGCCATTCGCACTTCTTTAATTTATCTCAACATGACATCTTAGATTCTCTTTTTTATCATGCCTTTCTCTGTTTTGTAGGATATTATGGTAAAACAGTAGCTGCTCAGTCATCGTATTTAGTGGATTTAGCAAACGAGTGGACTTTATGAGAAGAATCGTGGAAATGGCAAGTAGCGGGTTTTCCATAGTTGTTAGTGACAGACCTATTGCATTCTGGCCCTTGTTGTTGTTATCACATGGCAATAACATCGGGGAATGCACTGATTGAAATAACAGCTCTGGTGTCTCTTAAAAATCAAACTTTTCTTCTGCATTTATGCATTCTTTGCCTCCTAGGACTTCTGATAAAGGAGGATTCGTTCTTCTGTTATTGTATTTCATTTTGACAACCCATCCTTACTATACAATATTTGTGTAGCTCGGTTACTGTGGTCAGCGGCCTAGAGCAGTGCTTGAGTGGCATTGGGATGTGGGGAACTTGGAAAATGCTGAAAAGTTGGGAGTTATCTCTAGATAATCAATAAAGCTTTTTCTATTTCAATATATATAGGTACCCATTTGCAATATGACTTTTGGCAGTAAATAATAATTAACATTAATCATTGCAATATTGTCGGCATCATCAACGACCAAAATACGCATCACACCAGAGGCAACTCATGTGTCTACATTCACAGCCCCCTGAAAAACATCCTGGCCCAAGGGAGCTTTTATCATTTACGGTGGACATGTGATAAAGTAAAGAAATATTGGAGTAGGATTTCTATTCTAATACAGAAAATTCTGAAAGTGAATATAAAGGTAAAAGCAGAAACTGTTCTTTTTGGCTTAATGGAAAAAAGACTTGGAAACAATGATGGAACTTCAATGTTATATACGTTGATGGTAGCAAGACTACTTTATGTACAAAAAGGGAAGGACATTTCGATCTCCACAATGGAGGAATGGTTGCAAAAGTTGATGGAGGTAGCAGAGATGGCTAAATTGACTCCTTTGATGAAAACAACAACAACACATGAGTACTTTTTTTTCAACTTGGAAACCCCTTCTTCACTTCTGGAATTCTAGGAGGTTGGACTAAAAGATCTCCAAGGTCCCTTCCAACTCTGTCATTCTGTTAAATTCAGCTTCTAAGTGACTTTTATGGCCTCTGATAAATATCTTTTTGGGGTTTTATCTTCCAGCCTATTATTAAATGGTAAATATAGAATCTTTCTTCTGTAAGTAAACTCGTATTCCAAAAATGTTTCCAGGTTGGTTATTTATTTTAAGATGTATATTGCAAGACATCATCAGTGCTCCTTGTCTATAGAAGAAATAGCCCTCCAAATTACAGGAAGTCCTCAACTTACCACTGTTCATTTAGTGACCATTCGAAGTTACAACGTCACTGAAAAAAGTGACATATGTTCGTTTTTCACAGTTACCCCCTTTGCAGCATCCCCATGATTCTGTGATCAAAATTCAGATGCTTGGCAACTGGTTCATACTTATGACCGTTGCTGTGTCCCAAGGTCATGTCACCTCCTTTTGTGACCTTCTGACAAGCAAAGTCAATGGGGAAGCCAGATTCACTTAACAACCAGGTTACTCGCTTATGAACTGGAGTGATTCACTTAATAACTGTGGCAAGAAAGGTCATAAAATGGGGCAAAATTCCATTAACAAATGTCTCTCTTGACAACAGAAATTTTAGGCTCCATTGTGGTTGTAAGTCGAGCACTACTTGTACTTTTGGTTGGGAAGTTGACATGTGTTTGCCTGTGCCAGATGATATCGGTGCCTCTCTGTAAGCGGTCAGATTGTAGTCGCTGTCAGGCCACCATTTACATGGAGAGAAATGGCCAGTCTGGGAGTTGCGCTCATCTCTCCAGAGAAAATCGGTTAGAGGGGTTGAATTGCAGAGCTGTATGCAAATGCGGTTTTGTAGATGGAGATGCACAGAGGATAATACTGATAATCTTTCATATCTTTAAAAAAAGAATAATAGCATTTGGCACCTAATACTAGTCTGGAATTAAGACGGTAAGTCTTACTGGTGATTAAGTAGGACATCATGTGACCAAACCTATTCTACAACGGTGTTTGCAGCGGTCATTAAATGAAAGCTGCAGTCGTTAAGTGTACCCATTTTTCAGAATGGGCATTTTTTACCAGATATTGGTAGTCAACGCCAGCAAAACATTGTAAGCTGTAGTCATGTGATTGTGGGATGCTGCAAAAAGCTCTGAATGTGATCTGGTTGCTGATTGCCCACAATGCAATTGCATGAGTGCAGATGGGGGAGAGGGCAAACATCAAGCCTTTGAATCCAAGCCCTAAATACCTTATATTCCTATTCTTAGTAAACGTGAAGCAACACATCTTTTTCAATGGAAAATGTAGTACCAATTAACAAGGTTACTGAGAGGAGAATAACAAAGCAAGGTATGCTATGTTGCCATTCACATGATCATTTTTATTTACAGTTTAATGGAAATCACTGGCATGGAAATTGTTCACGTCTGGATAGGACATACACTTTCCTTGCCATTTTAGCTGTCCCATTTGTGTATCTTATATACGGTATTTTGCTAGTGTGTGCAACAATATAGCATGAGTTGCAAGAAATTATTGCCTCTTAGCCAGTGTAACTTGGGTATTCTTCTGTAATATTCCTTCTTCTGGAAGAATGCAAACTTTCTGCCCCCATAGCAGATCTACAGTGCTTTCTGTGCCTCCAATCATGATGTTCCAAGGACAGATCTTCCTGATGTTGCTGAACAAAATTCTCCTTCTTACTAGACAATACACTGGTTGATGTTCAGAAAGTACAGGTAATCCTCCACTTACGACAGTTCACTTAGTGACTGTTCAAAGTTACAACGGCACTGAAAAAAGGGACTTATGATCTTTTTTCACACTTACGTCCGTTGCAGTAGCCCCTTAGTCACATGATCGATATTCAGATGCTTGGCAACTGACTCATGTTTATGACTGTAGCAGTGTCCCGGGGTCATGTGATCAACTTTTGAGTCCTTCTGGCAAGCAAAAACAATGGGGAAGCCATATTCTCTTAACAACTGTATTACTATCTTAACAACTGCAGTGATCTGCTTAACAACTGTGGGAAGAAAGGTCGTAAAATGGGGCAAAAGTCACTAAACAAATGTTGTATTTAAAAGATAAATTTGGGGATCAATTGTGCTAAGTTGAGGACTATTTGCGCGTACCTGAGGAACCTCCGGAAGTGTCAGGTTTCCATTAATATTGTAAGTGAATACTAATCACTGTATCCCATAGAACGGTGGAAATAATACGAGAAAACAGACAAAGAAGTTTGCTGAAATTCTGCATTTAATGAAAAGTTTGTTATTCCTAAGAAAAGTGTAATGAAACTAGGTTTAAACTAAATTAGCAGATATAAAGAATTTTTTAGTTTTATTCTCAAACAACAAGAACAAAAACAAGAAGATGCACAACAACAACAAATACAACAAAAAGAATTACAACAATAACATTAACAAGACGCAGGAACTTCCTCGTTGGAAAGTGGCTCCTCGCAGGGCTTCGCCGCTGGGGTTGATTCCGCCGTCCGTCTATATGCAGATAGAATATCAGAACAGAATACCAAGAGTTGGAAGGGACCTTGGAGGTCTTCTACTCCAACCCCCTAGTCATGAATGCATTGTTCCCAGCATGGCCTCCATTTGTCTGCTGTGCTCAATTGCCAGCTTCTGGTGCAGCCCATCAAGAAAGGCAAGACTGCCTCCTGTGAGTGAAAGAACCACCCTTTGCTGCTCCTGCCTTTTCTCTTCCCTGGTTGTTCTCGGATAGTGCAGAAAGCAGTTCCTGCTCAAAGCTAACCATCTGCAGCTGCCCGGAAGTCTCAGGGCTCTCCTGCTGCAGCTGTGCTTCAGCCAAATCACTCTCCGCTGGCTGCTCGGAGGCATTGGCCAACTCACCTCCTGATGTGCCTGGGACTGGTTCATCCTCCTCCGATCTGCCTTCTGGAGAGGCATCTGGGGAAGCGTCTGGGGGAGGAATCAAAGGCTATTCTTAGTACCACACACTTTCTATAAAAGTATACAAACTTTGTTCTTTCTGGAGTTACTTTTGATACTTTCTGTGGGGTATCAAAAGTAAGGAGAGGGTTGCCATTTCCTTCTCCCGTGGACCACGTTATGTCAGCACTCTGCACTATGACCTGTCTGACTTGGGTGACCCTGCCCGTCAGAGCTCATTGTTTCCTTGAGCAAGGCATTGATCCACAAAGAGGCTAAAATAGGTACCTCTTTTAATTAGAGACTGAGGGCCAGGGAGTCCTCCTCCAGGCTGCTGACATTGTCCAGCGAGGCTTCCCCTTCTTCGGGAGAATCCTGTGAATGACAATGATGACTTTTTATCCATCAGTGAAAGGAGACTCAGAATTCCTAAAAGGGGCCCGATTGATTTGGGATTCCCATCAGAAACAATGCTTCTGTTGCAATCCCCACTCCCACCCACTCTGCCCGTTAAAGCCCTGCCTGGAAACAGCAGGTTGCTGGACAGGATGACGCAGAAAAACGAAAGGGATAAACAGGGTGGGCCATATCTATTTAGGACCCCAGTCCACTGAATTGGCCCTTCCCTTCTGGTTTGCAGTAAATCAATCGCAACAGAGCTTGGGTGCTTCTAGTTAGCCTAAGTACCTTGTCCCAAGGGCCAGCTGTCACCTTTATCCACTGCCCAGAGCTCTCCAGCACAGTTCACTCAGATTAGGAGAACTGAATAGAGGGACTCTATCCCTCCCCAAGAGAAAATACTTTGTCTGTCTTACCCACGGACTGGACGAAAGGCTGGCCTCCGAAGCCTCTGCAGCCTGCTCCCAGCTTCCCTCAGATTCCTCATCCAAGAGGGCAGAAATGGAGTCAAAATCCTCCAGGCTGTTATTCCGGGAGCCCACCAGGACTTCCATCGAATCCTGCAAATGACAGTATCGAGGCTAAATCCTAAGCTTTCTGTATCCCAATAAGATTGCTAAAGGATAGGGTGCATTCAGGCCCTGTGCGCCAACAGCAAGAGAGCCTCCATCGGCCCCATTGCCAAGACTTTCTTACCTCCGAAGTATGCGTTTTCTCCCCAGTAGGAGAGAGCTGCTCCTCCGCCGGCTGGTCTTCTTCGTCCTGAAATAAAAAGGCAAAAATTCTGTCTGGGGAGAGAAACGAAGGAGCCAAACATCAAAAACAGCCATGGGCCCTTTTTAAAAAAGTGGTGACGTGGAGGCTCTAAGAACCCTTCCAGCTGGCCTGCCAAGGAGATTGGCCTGAGATTCTTCCTTTAGCAGAAGCAGAGACAGAGGGCAGAGATGCCTCCTCTCTGCAAAGGCTTCACCCTCTGAGGTGTTACCTACCTTGATAGGCAGACACTGCTTTTCTCCTGCACCTCTCTTGGTCGGTAGTCTTCCGAAGGATCCTGAAATAACAATGCAAATATTACAAATGTTGGCATATCAACAAATCCACAGCGAAAGGGCTTCTGCCATTACCATGGTGAGGAGCTGGTCTGGGCTTACCGACTCAGTGCAGGTCTCCCAGATGGTTGAGAGCCGCGGCCTCCACTTCGCTATCTTCTCATTTCTAGGGAGAGAATGAAGGGCCAAAGATCAAAACTAGCCATGCGATGCCCCCCCTGCCTCTGCAAAGGTTTCTTCTAGCCCTTCTCTTTAGGGCTTTACTGCGGCTGCCTTTTAGGGGGCTTCAGAATACTTAATCTGCGAACACCTACCTCACTGAAATGAGAACTGGCATCACCTCTTCCTTCCTGGGGCTCCGGGCGGTGGCACGAACACCCATCAAACCCTGCAAGTAACAATTGAAAGTATAAATTAAAAGTCCCCTGCATGTTGTGGAACGTTTATCTTCCCCAGGAGGGAAAGACTGCATTCAACAGGGAAAGACAAAGCAGATCATGGAAGATTTGGCTGATAGGAAGCCATCAAGATCTTTCCATGAATCCAAAAGGCTCCTCTTGCTTTTGCTAGGCTGGCCAGGTTCCCCCAAGTGAGAATTCCTCCCTTTCCCCATCCGGTTATGAGGGATGAGCCCTGACTGGCCATGTCGCAGAAGCATCCTTACCCCTTGGGAGGAAGGCCTGCGTCCATCGGACACACGAATCTGTGTCTGCCATTCTCCCTTCTGGTCCGCCTGTTCATGTGCCTCGTCAGTTCTGACCGAAAGAAAAAGATGACATGTCAAAAAATATCCATCTAGCTCTGCCTCTCATTTCTAAGACCAGCCAACCAGTCAGCCTTCCCATCTTTTGGCCTCTGCAAGCCGCTTGCCAAGAGAAAGCCATCTTGGGGAGAGGCTGTTAGAGACCCTACAGTCCATCAGTGGTGCCCCACCATGCCCAGGGTTTGAGGAGAAGGGGGTGGTACCTGTCAGGAGGCACAGGAAGGTTCTCTACGTCGCTCTTCCTGCAGCAGAAGAGCGCCGAACATCTTTTCCAGATGTTCTGTGAAGAAAAGAGAAATAGAGATGAGCCAGTCGGAAGAGTTGCGAAGCATGACTTTCTCCCCTACTACTGCCAGTTTCTTGGCAGCTGAGATGGCCACACTTACTCTAAAAAACTTCCGTACAGCCATGACCCCAAGCAGCTGTTTGTCCTTTCACTGCACGAAGGGAGAATGGGCAGTTGGGCCCTGGTTGGTGGCTTTTCAGGGTAACTGACAACCTCGTTGCCTCGGCAACTAGGTAAACAAGGGCCACATTCTAAACCTACCCAAGGAGGGCAGCTCACCTGGGTTTAGCAGTGTCTGGGCGGCCCGGTGGCTGACTCCTTTGGTGGCCTTTGGCCTCTTCCTTTCATGTGGGAACAGGAACAACAGAGAAGCACCATCATTGTGGCACAAAGCACAGAAGGAATCATACAATCCTAGGGTGTGGCTTTTAGACCAACCTCCTGCCCATGGAAGGGCTCCTCACACAGGGTCTCCAGGGAGGGGAGGGGACATAGTGCACTCTCCCCTCGGGGCTGCGGAGGCTCTGATCATGTGCAGGGCTCGCGCTCCCCTTTCAGCTTCTCCCAAGCTGGACCTGTGCCAGTGGATGCCCCGCTTGACTGGGACATGGCTCCAATAAAGCTGGCCAGACGTGCATCACCTCCTCCCATGCCTTGGCTCAGGAAGGCCCAGGGCAGCCCCTCCTCTCCCCTTACAGATCTAACAGCTCTGAGGGTTTTCCCTAATAAAATACTATTATTTAATCGTTATAGGTAGTCCTCGATTTATGACTGCTTGCTTAATGACCATTTGAAATTATGAAGAACTGACCCAGAACTACTTATGACTTATTTTAATCATTATGGTGTCCGCATATCCCCATCTCCATGATCACATGATCCCATTTTGGATTCTTGGCAACTGATTATCTTTAGAACTGTTTGCCCCAGCGAACACTTAATGACTTCAGCATTCGCTTAACGATTACAGCATTTGCTTAACAACTACTCTAAAAATGTTGAAAATTTGTGTCCAGTCACATGATGCCTCGACTTGTGACTGCAGCAACTTACCACTGTAATTCAGGGCTCAATTTCAGTCTTACGTTGAGGACAACCATTACTGGTAATGTGACTTCAGGCTCGAAGAGAAAAAAGTTAGAGATTTTTAATGACCAGGAGAGAGACTCTGTTCTTAAATCTCTTCTAAATAAATTTTGAAGCATTCGCTGCCCTAATAAATGGCGACGTTTCTTCTTTCTTCAGGAATGAGCTTGCTAGTAGCAAATATATTCTTTTTTCAATTTCCAAATATTATAAACTAGAAACAAAAACAAAAAATAAAGCCCAGGTTCAAAGTACCCAGCTTCACAACTTGTACTTCAGTTATAGTGAAATATTAAACCACATGCTTCACAGAAACAGAACAAATTTTTATTTTTTTTCATGTTTGCAGGTTTACTTCCGAAACATCTATTGTTTCACACAGTTTTTTTTTCTTCCTCCAATGGGAGGATTCCAATTTATTTTCATATTTTAAATGCTGTCCTTGTATCCTCTTTGAGTTTATAAATATATCTAACTTTGATATTAAAGTGGTACCTGGAAAAATATTAATGGTCTGACAACAAATGTGGGTAAAAAGCAGATGGCCCACCAAAGATTGTGTGTGAAAGGGAGGTTTGTTTTGCTTACTAGACAACTCTTAAATTTAGGATGGCCAGACATCCTGTTCCCAGCTCTGCACATGATATATTACTAACTGCCTGTCACATGGTGTAACTAAACTGCTTAACACTTGATATATTGCTGATTGCTAAAAGCATTCCAATGTAAACGAGGAGCTATCGATTATAGATCTGTCTAGTAGTTTTCCTATGTTAGAAAAGGACCTATAGAATGTGGTATGGAATGTGACCTGCTCAGGAAATAACCCCCGCCTGAAGGATTATAAAAATGGTCATCAATGTACAGTCTGTGTTCAGATTCTTTAGCCATGATGGCTCTCTGAACCTGCGCAATAAACTTCCCTTTCCTGGAAAGAGCTGACTCAAGTCTTTCAATTCTACAACATTTTCTGGTGCATTGGCCGGGAAAAGCTTGAGTGAGGCGATATTTCGCTGAGGACGGCTGGACCCTTCGGACCTGCTGGTAAGCCATCTCTGAACAATTCTCCAGGCGCCATGGGGGTGTGTTTCCTCCAGGAGACAGCTGTGGCTTCTCAGCAGAGCCAACAGTACTGAAGGCCAGTCCAAGAACCCTTTGGGAAAGGAAAGGAAGTCTGAACCAACTCCTGGCCAGGACGGGTGTTACAAGGCAGGCGAGTATGTGTTGAAAGTAATGGTAGATAGAAGAGGGGGCCTGATCACTCCCCTGGACTCGGGACGGCGATCCTAATGAAGTCCGTGTTAGGTTGTGTGGGTGGTTAAGCCAGTGCATTCCCTACTAGTGACCGCCGGCGCTGTAGGTCATTGGCAGTGTGTTAGGATGGGGGGGCGTAGTATGGATGTGGGGTGGCCCCCAGAGGGGACTTTTAAGAAAACTATCCTAACCAATTTCAGTATATAGATCAGTGGGGTGATGCAGTAGCAGGACGAGCTGATGAGTTATTGCAATGTCAGGCTGAAATGGTTCGTTTGTGTGTGGCTAGACCCAAAGGAAAAAAGCTTCAAGTACAAACTAAAAGAGTGAAAGATGTGAAGATTTCAGAAACTAAGGTGTCAGATGCTAAGAAGGAGATAAGGATGGAGGTAGAAGAGTTGATTCTCAGACCTCCTCCCTACGTTCCACCTTTCTCCCCCTCCCCCCCAGTGCCGGCTGCGGCAGCAGCTGCTCTGCCGGAGGAAGGGCTGATTGCCCCTGCTGTGTCCGAAGAAAGGCAGCCAGCTGTGAGACGAAAACAGAAAGGGGGAGGCTGTCAGCCCCCAAGGAGGAAGGGGATTTGGAAGATCTCTCTGTAAATGTGAGGGGAGAAGTAAGTAAAGAGGACGTGGCAGGATGTACAGCAATTGTTGAATACTTTGTTGACTCCTGAGGAAAGGGAGAAGTAGAAGGCTGCTGTTAGGCAGTGCTTGAAAGATAGGTTACCAGCTGTATGGGATATACAGCCAGAGTTGGAAACAAGGGCACCAGAGAAGGATCCAGAATGGAATGCACAGGATCCAGCACAGATGAGATTGCTGAGGGAATATCAGAATTTAGTGGTGGAGGCTCTTTGCAAGGCTGGAAAGCCTTCAGTGAATGTGTTAAAGCCGTCTTTTGTGATGCAGGAGGCAGATAAAAGTCCGGAAAGTTTCTTGCAGAGGTTGATTGAGGCTTATGAGCTTTATACACAGGTTGATCCAAGGAGTGCAGACAATGTGCGAATGTTGAATGAGAGGTTCATAGCACAGAGTTATGAAGATATAAGAAAGAAGTTGCAGAGGTTGGAGGGAGCATTAGGAAAGAACACTACAGAATTGTTGGAGGTGGCCAGTAAGGTGTTTGTTAATAGGGATGAGGTGGAAAAACAGGAAAGAGATGCTAGAATGCATAAGAAAACTGAGTTGTTGGCTGTGGCATTGCAAGGAGGGATCACGCTGGGACCCAACCAGTGTGCTAATTGCAAGGAGGAAGGTCATTGGCAAAGAGAATGTCCAAGAAGGCAGATGCGAAGTAGAGGTTGGAGAGGAAGAGAAGGCAGAGGACGTGGAGGTGTTGGCAGTGGGCCCCCCATACACTCCCCCTTCATGGGTAGAGGCAGAGAGGGGCTCCAAGGAATGTGAGAGATGGTCCAAGGAAGGTGAGAGATTGGAATAGAGACAGGGAGATTGAAGGAATTGGATTGGCAGGGACTAACTGGTCAGATTGACGAGGACCTAGCTTGAAGGAAGCCCCCCCTGAGCCATTGGTTACTTTAAATATAGGGGGCAAACAGACAACGTTTTTGGTGGATACTGGAGCAGGAAGATCAGTTGTGGATTTGAAAGCAGAGTCTTTGTGTGTGAAGTAAATATGACTGTTACTAACCTCAAGAGAAAAGAAGATACCAAAAGAAATAACCTCACTCTGTTTGTCTGGCCAACAAACAAAGTGAAGAAAGATGTGTTTGTTTATTTATTCTCTCCCTCTTAAGAACAGCCCAAAGTTACCTACTCAAGCAGGAAATCCTACACCATTTTCTTGCCCATTCTGCTCTCTCCCTTTTGCAAATGTTAGTGTGTTAATGCCTTTTCAAACTCTATCTGAAGACACAACCCCCTTTCCCCCCCTGCTTTTTTCTGGCTGTGTTGCTTTAAGAGGGAGAGAGATAGAGAGAGAAAGGAGAAAGAACTTTTTCTCTGCTTAGAATTCAGGTTTGAGAAAGGTTGGGTGGCTGTGAAAATTTAATGCCCACTTTTGCAATTTTTTCTATTCAAAAGAGGAGTCAGTAATTGTTGGACAACTTTTTTTGGAAATTTTTGAGTTTAAATTGTTTAATATCAACCAAAAGAAATGATTCTAAATTGTTTGCTTAGATTTGTAAATGTTCTCCCTATTTAATGGAAATTTAATGGAAATCTGTTTCCATCTGAATGGAATTTGATTAAATTGGAATTTGACTAACTTTATATTAAAAGCAATACTAGAGTTTGGAAAAAAAACTTTCAGTAACTCAGAATATCTTATTAAACTTGTTTATTTTTTGTGTGTGAAGTTAAAACGAAGTTGAGAAAAATTTTGGGATTATAAATAGCTGTGCTGTTTTGAGTAAAGATTTGTATGCAAAACTGTTAGAAAAAGAGCTTGTATTAATAAATGCAAACAGGGTTTGGTGAGCTCTCCTTTGTTGGTTCTTTGCTAGGTAATTTATTTATAACCAAGGACAAAGGTTGGAGGAGGTTTTGACCCAGAAGTGTGTGCGTGGGGGGGAAAGGCAGCCAGTGGCATTTTTATCTAAAATTGACATTTGGGGACATCTTGGTGGTTAGCATTTCTTATCAAGTGTGGACAATTTTAATCAGGAAGCCTAAAGGAGGTATACACTTGTTCATAGCAAAGTGGTTTTCAGTTGTGGATCTGAAAGATGCTTTTTTCACGATTCCTATTCACAAGGCTAGCCAGCCGTTGTTTGCTTTTGAGTTGGAAAATCCAAATACAGGGCAAAAAAGGCACAGTATTCCTGGACCAGGCTGCCATAGGGCTTTAAAAATTCACCTACCCTGTTTGGCACAGCCCTAGCAGAAGATTTACAGCATTTTGTGCCCCGACAGAGGGGTGACACGCTTCTGCAATATGTAGACGATGTGCTGGTGACAGGCAGAACTGAAGAGACATGCTGGGAGAACACAGAATCTCTTTTACAGTTACTGTTGAAGTGCGGCTATAGGGTTTCCAAAAAGAAGGCACAATTAGTCAGACGGAAGGTGAAGTATTTGGGATATGAGATTGAGGAAGGGCATAGGGCTTTAGGCTGGGAGAGGAAACAAGCTGTGCTAGCTATTACTGAACCCCTTAATAGGCGGCAACTGAGGGGCTTTTTAGGTCTGGCAGGGTTTTGCAGGATATGGATACCAACTTTTGCTCTATTAGCAGCACCTCTTTATTCAGCTACAAAAGGAGGTGATAGAGAACCTTTTGAATGGGAGGGAGAACAAAAGAATGCCTTTAGGGAAGTGAAACGAGCCCTCACATCAGCTCCAGCTTTAGCCTTGCCTAACGTAGAAAAGCCTTTCAATTTGTATGTTGATACCAGGAAGAATGTTGCCTTGGGGGTGTTAACTCAACAATTAGGACAGTGGCAACGCCCGGTGGCTTACTTATCTAAGCAATTAGATGGGGTTGCCCAAGGCTGGCCACATTGTCTGAAGGTTCTTAAATTGACCTTCTCATGTCCCATAAGTGTCCACACCCCTCATGCAGTTCATTCTATCTTGGATAATAAAGGGCATTTGTGGATCAGCAGTCAAAGGCTTTTTAAGTATCAGGCAATGATGATTGAAAACCCTCAAGTGAAATTAGTGGTGTCTAACCGGCAAAACCCCAACTATTGCCCACAGAAGTGGATTCAGAACACAACTGCTTGCAAGTTTTGGAAGCTGTATATTCAAGCCGTCCGGATTTATCTGATATTCCTCTTCAGGATGCTGCCATGAATTGGTATACAGACGGCTTGAGTTACATGCAGGATGGGAGGAGGGTTTCTGGATATGCAATTGTGAATGATGAGGAAGTGGTGGAAAGTAGTCCGCTAGGAGCAAGCTGCAGTGCTCAAGTAGCAGAATTGTGGGCATTAATTAGGGCATTGGAAAGAGCTGAAGGGGAAACTTTAAATGTCTGGACAGATAGTAAATATGCTTTTCTAACTCTGCATGCTCATGGTGCTGTGTATAAGGAGAGGGGATTCAGGGATTCGGCTGGCAAACATGGGTTACATGGACACTTGATAAAGCATCTTCTCGATGCAGTACAAAAGCCAGCAAAGGTTTCAGTTATGCATTGTAAAGGGCCATCAGGGGGGAGTATGGGGGAACTGAATAAGCAAGTGGAAAAACTTAGGGACTATATTGTTGAACAAACACCTTCTAAACTAATAACAAGATGTCATCCCTTTAAACCAGGGG